AAACGTCAGCTCAACTCATATCATTGTGGGAAAATTCTACTACCAGTGCTTCATCACCTTACACGAAATAAGGTGAATAAATCTTATTACACTGATTTATTGGTAGTCTCGAAACCCTACTCAAATACGACTAAAAATCGGGCGTTCCTATTCGGTCTATCCGAACTGCTGAAATATATACTTTCTTTGTCATCGCCTCGTTTTAACCTCTTCAGATTCAAGCAATTATATTGAATCGTCACTTTTGGCAAATGTTGACGAAGGAGATTAACTTACCTTTTTTCGAAGGGTAAGCTCACCCAGGTCGCCTGTACCTAGCGATAATTAGACCCTCGAGGCTAAGGGATCGCTGGCAATTATGGGGCACTCTGAATGGAAGCGAATCTAATTGAGAAGATAGAGGAAGCAAATGCTTGCTGGATCTGAGTTGGGTAAACGAAGTAAACAAGATTGCCACATTTGAGTGGAATGGTTACATATTCAGCATGGAAATGCATTTAAACTCCGTTTTTATGAATGAAAGTTAGGATACTTCCTTAAGTTGCCTTCGCGGTGTCAGTATTGGACAAGTGAGTCTATGATGTACCGATTCCATGTCTAAACATTTACATTCAATTGTAAATAAATAAAATGAACTATGCATGTAGAATATATTTTACGCGAAACCAGGCCACAAATCTCATTGCGATTGTTGATATGTAGAGCGAATTTGTGGTGAACTCCAGAAGGTGCCACATATCAGTGATATAGACTCGTATTCCCCAGGTCCAGAGTTTCTTGATCTCTTGCCAAACGAACGCTACAACAAAGGAAAGAGACATATTAGTCTGATGGACTCCTTAAATGAAAAAAGTACATTTAGAGCAGCCTAGTGAAGTTGAAAAGTCTCCAAGTCAAATGTTTATGTAGTTATTTGAGCTTTTTTCTCTACCCTCTCGTATGTCCTGTTATGTGGATAGTTTTAATAGGCATAAAGTATGGACAATGTGAGTGGGGAGGAAAGTACGAATTATATTCAATATCAATTTTTCAACTAATAGGGACTCAAAAAATTGTGGGCCTATAATCTGAAAGTTCTCAATAAAATTAGTTTTTTGGATTATCAGTTAATGTTTTAGTAAAATGTTTAGTTGTCATAGGTGGCTTAAGGACAGACAGATGTATTTTCCCACAATGAAATGGGGGAGGTTTGTATTTTCATTGTGGAAAAATTTTACTATACGTCCTTAAATTACCTAACGCGGCGTAGGGCGAGTCAGTTTGGTGATTTGCAAATGTCAATTCAAGTCCGCTGCTGAATAATATTTGCTTCGATTCTGAAGGGACTTAGCATACAGGCAGTTGGGAGAGAGTAGCATGTGTCATTTCGATAACGCGTTGATTATTCAAACTAAGGCAGCATTCACACTGTACCCTGAATGACTGGGAGTCTATAGCTTTCACCACCTTCTGAGAGGCAACTTGGTCAAGGAAATCCGAATTAAAATATTCGAATAGTGTAAAGTAACTCATACTAGTTTGGTGCTTCAAAGATGGGCAAAGAAAATATTATGTAGGTGAAAAAGCAAATAATGACACTCTTTCTTCATCAAAATGGAATACTAATTTTTGCTTATATGAGATCTCCCTTTATATCCTTCGGTTATAATTTGGACAAAACGTTACTTTGAAACACATTTCGTTACACTAGACTAAGAGTATAGTGACAACTCATTAAGTGGCTAATATAGAATGATTATCTTGATTCACAGAGAATAGAGCTGAAATTCACCAGAGTATCTTCCAGTAGATCTGCATTATAATAGGTGGTTCACTATGATCTATATCAATTTATGCTATAAGAAGACGGATTTGGCCAAACTAGGTAGCTAGCTACTGAAACTATTAAGAAATTAGCTAAAGTTTGTTGTAGACTTTACTTTAGGTTAAACTCAGATTCGTATGAATTTTTCAGATTCAAAAAATTCCATATTCCACTGCTATTTTTATTTTTAGATGAAAATATAAATTTAATATAAACTGACATCCAACCATCAATATTATTATTAAGCGCACTTATTAGAATAAATCTGATATTCACTATAACCTTATTGGACTCTTGAGTATTTTGGTTAATAGGTAAAGATGTGACAATTTAATGGTTATTCTGACAAATGTCATAGTTTAAACATTTGCATTTCCGTTTTTCGATATTTACAAAATGTGCTTATTGATGGATAATAGAAAGGGAGGCAAGTTTAACATAGAAATTTTGTCACAAATTCATAATGGAGAGGTGGATATGAGCACTATTTTTTTTGACATATCACTCACATTGCTTACATTTTACAGCATTTAAATCCTGAATTTCCATGTTACTAGTCAAATAAGGTGGTATGATAGTAGGGTTTCGAGACTAT